GAAATTAAATATATAATTATATATATTTATAATTAAAAATCAATAAATATTTATAATTTAATTATTTATCATGCTTCATTAATGTGTTTACAGTATTATACTGTTACTACTCACCTGGTTTTGTATCTGCAAAGTCATAATTGAGCCATTCTATACATAATGGAAATGAAGGTAATAATATATCATGATGGCAATAAAAAGATCCTTCCCTTTCATTATACACTGCAATTATAAATTGTCATAAATTAGCAAATCTATGTAAAATTATCTACCTTCAAAATAATTAATATTTAATATTTTAATACAAACCATATACTTCCAAGATGCTAGCATCTCCTTCAACATGGCCAATCAGCACCAGATTATCATCAGCCTTGATAATGTCATCCTCTTTTTCTGAATCTTCATCATCATTTGTTATAAAAGGATCTTTTCCATCAAAGCTGGCTAAAGTGGTGATGTTGCAATACATATCGCCATCTGCAAAACAAAAATAAACATTATTATTTAATTAATTATAAACGTAATTACAAACACAAGTCAGTATCTTTTAATTTTTTCTTTTACTTTCATCATCATAAGCTTGAAAGTTGTATTCATCAATGCCAGCTGCGAGAGACTCTTCTGTATGTTTTGTATTCGATTTTGTATTCGAGGAACTTGCCTCTTCATCAGAATCTTCATCTCTGTAAAAAGAAAGAGTTGTAAATAATTTTCTCAATAAATAAATATAACTTATGTCAGATATATGTTATTTTATTACATACTCTAAAGCAGATTGTGTCTCTTTTATAATTTGTTCTAGCTCGTCGGCCTTTAATTCGACCTAAATAATTACACAAAATATACAATAACATTTTTACATTGACAATTGAGGTAACCTAGAGACATAATTGGACCATACTAACCTTTTCAGGAACGGCTGCGGCGACTCCTCTTCTCACCCACGTGATACAGGGTATAACATTCATCCTCTTTGAAAATTTTTATCAAATTTTTGAAATATTATTTAAAACGAAACTCATCGAGTCTTCATCTGCTTTTACAGAAGTTAAGGTTAAGGTTAGGTTAGGTTATGCGACAGAGCTCGCTCCGTACGCACGTGGTTTTGCATGCAGGTGCGTTGCGTTCGAAAATCTATTCATCGAGTAGAGTAGCATTTGATTGGTCAGAACAAAGACGTCAGGATGCAAACATTCCGCGAATCGCATACTCTCTAAAAACCTTTCTAAAAACCAGCTGTGTTACTGAGGGAATATAATTTGATAAGAGGTAAAATAAAATCAAACAAATCGCCAATTTAAATTTTGCGGCTAAGTTTATGGTACTAATATTCATCTTTTTTTATTTATAGTCCCCTATTCGCATACTTCCTATCGAAGTACATTGCTCCTAATAACTCCAACGATTTTTCAAAGATACATATCGAAGGAAGCGTATTCCAACTCTCGCTATCATCCTCAAGTTAGATAGATTGCTTGCCGCGATATTATTTTATTGTATGTACATATATTTAATGTAGATCTTTTTTCCAGCGTTCCATTTTTAGATTTTAATATATCGACAATTAATAATTAAATATTCATACATTCATTCAACAGGAAATCTAGTAATTCGTCGACGGGAGTCTCCCGCGCTTGACTACTTGTCGGCTACCAATCAGTACGCGTTCAACAGCATTCGTCGTATTGCAATAATAATCCTCGACGGAGAAACACGAAATCAAGAAAACGCAGTAAAAAATATATTCAAGCTCAACATTTTTTTTATTAATGTCATTATTGACATTAATTGCTGCGAAAAATTAAAGCTAGGATAATTTTATTCATACATGAAAATACGACATCGTGTGTTACGAGTATGTAGATGTACACAGTGTATAATATTATGTTGCATATTCAGTTTATATAGTTTGTAAACATTACTCCACTTTGATTGATAGCTGATGCCAAGATTTTATCGACGTGTTTGTACATGGTAAACGCGAAAATCCATTTATTATATCGACATTGAGAAGGTGTAGATCATGAAAGAGATGTTGGCAAATCAAACTACTATGGGATACAGTAATTCTTTTGTCAATGCTAACAGTAAAGATGCAGGCACCAGTAGTATTACAAATGATAATAATTCAAGGAGATATGCCATGCTTAGTACTGAATGGATCTCTACCATCGGTGAGGAATTGGGTATGCATCCATTGCCGGATCCACTGTTAAAGAGATTAGCCGAAGATGCTTCCTATCGCTTGAGAGAAGTTCTACATGTAAGCAAATAATACATTTTTCTACTTGTACATTATGACATAATTGTAACGTTATTTATCCTGAAATTTCAGAAATGTGTTACAAGACTGAGACATAGTAAAAGAAGACGTCTAACATCTATGGATGTAAATGCAGTCATCACTAACTTGTGTGACGCAGATCCGATTCTTGGTGCACCAGAATCCATGCCAGAGTATCATACAGAAGCTAAGGTGTATGTGCCTAATGAATCTGTCATCAATCTTGCTCACCAAATAAACGACCCGTTGAATTTTTCTCAGACTAATGTGCCATTTCTGCAAGGTAGACTCTTCAAAAGTTTATACCATTTTTGTATCCTTCTCTCGTTCTCAACTTTTGAATTTATACATTTCATGTTGAAATATATATATTTTTCTTTTTTTCTATAGATAATGAAATATGCGACAAGAAGTTGACAGAAGCACGTGTCAATTATGCCAAACGTGCATTAAAAACTTTATTTAATGGCTCGCAGAAAACTTTTCAAGTATATAGAAATAAAAGTGTTTTAATATTATTATAATTAGATAAATGTAACATTTTTGATATTTCTAGGTTTTGCTTAATGATTGCGCTACCAATGTACATTTAGGTGATGAGGGAGTCATAGATAAATTGATATCTATCGCTAGGTCTACGTTGATCTTAAATAATGCACAATATACGCGCGTTTCTACACGTACCTGCGAGCTCATAATTGCCATTGCTAGCAACAGCGAAGCCGTCTATCCTTATCATCTAATATCGGTAATTAATCACAGAAAGATTACACATGTGTGCATCTTTCTTGAATTCTTGCAAATATCTTGATTTGTTTGTTTTCAGGTGGATAAAATGACCGACTTATTACTAGAATTACTGCTGAGTCAGAGTTTTATACATCCGAATTTGGAAGTGCTCTTTAAAGAATGTGCGCTCAAATTGATGCTTCGATGGCCATCGATCGCCGACAAGTAAGACGAGAACTATAAAACATTCTTTCATTTTAAGAAATAAAAGATTGACTTTTTTGGACTGTGATTTATATGTTGACAGATATATACCAACGTTGCAGAGTGTTCTTTTAAAGAACGAAATAGATAGTGTGGATCATTATAAAAAGAGGATAATGGCGGTGGAATTGTTAGCGAGTCTCCAGCCACTTATATTTTTCCAGCACGAGGCCGAACATACTCTTTCCATACAAAATACTTTGTATTATTACGCTTCATCTGGTTCGATTATTTGGGAGCAAATAGCTGTTAGTACTAGCTCTTATTATTCTAATTCTGATACATGTTGCCTCTGTACATTATCTGTATTTATAATCGATATAGCTGGCTGTTTGCGCCCTCGTGAGATCGCAGGGTCATTCCTTGGATCTTACTTCTTTGCTCGAACATTACGGAGATTCATTATTACCTTACTTACCCGCTAATGATGACAATGATACAAGAGGGAGAAGTAATAAGAAGGTTGGCACGTTGCCTATCATCATCAAAGGCAAGATGAAGTACGTTAAAATCAGACCGTTACTTAACAATAGAACATTGTGGGATCGACAGACCGCATTTCCAGATTCCACCCTGAGAGGACCGAGACGGGAGATAAGGTACGCATCATATAAAATTCGATGAAATTAATGAGGGGACGTGAATGTATACATTCGTATTATATAATCTGAACGCATGGTTATAGATTTGCGTTCGCTGGTGGTCGTCCAGTTCCTCCCAACAACTTGAGGCGTGTCAGTTTAAGAGCTAATTATCATATTCTGAGAAGCGATCTTCAAGCCACTCTCGCTCTAGTCGCATCGCGCAGACTGCTCGTCGTTAAGGATAGAAAGAAAGGTCCCTATAATTTTTATAATTTGGCACATGTTTGTTTATAAATTAATATAAATTTCATTTATTCAAACATCATTATCAAAACATACATAATAAGTACCGTCATTGATTATTTCATCGTTTTTTATTACATTAATCGTGATTCTAGATTATTTTCGTTAACCACAAGTCTCTCAAAGTAATTATTGTTATTGTCTCTCTTTTATGAAATTTCTGATAGGATTTTAGTTGCTAATCTATTTCACAGTATCTCGTAAGCTTTTATCTGATAAATTTCTATTCTTTATGGCGCGAGTTCCTGTTCACGTCATTCAAGATTCGTTACTCAAGAAAAATTTCGAAAATTTTTTATTTTGTGAACTTTTTATCTAATTTTATTAACAAAAAAATAATAAAAATTAGAAACTTATATATTCTTTCTATAAATTATATATAATGGCCTGTGTTAAATCTTACATATATTGTACAAATCTTGTTTTAAAGACAATCCTGTAGACCATGTGGTAGTTCCGTATGTACCAAACAATGCGAATTAGTTAAACACGTAAGACGAGTGTGTACTCTAACTGGTAGCTGTAAAATAATAATGTTTTTTAATTTCTTAATTCTTTTCTTCGTAATTCCAATTCCGATATTTACCCTTGCCGGACGACGTCGACTCAAAACTCCGTTTTTATAGAATAACATAGAAATGCCATGCCGTATAACGCGTACATCTTCTTTCTAAATCGAATTTTTTTTTAATGAAAGGAGATAGAGACAAATTATATTACATTATTAATGTTACATACTTTGTTATAATCTCCAAGATTGTTCTCATGTCTGTTTTCCATTCGAAGTCTATTGCTATTTGAGCGCGTGGACCTTGTATCTTGTGATTGAATATCAGTGAGTTGATTGTGTCTTATTGACAATTGTTTCCAAGTTGATCCAATATTTTTTATATTCATCGCTTTACTCACATTTTCTAACCAATGAATTATGTATGCAGTTTTATTATACGATACGTTTGGCGGTATAAATGGAGGTTTTCCTTGTATAATGGAATAATCTATTAATTGCATGTCATATTTATTTTTCAATTGATTTTTTTTAGTCGACTCATCTTGAATATCGATATTAAAGACTGCTTGATTATCATGAGTTGTGTTTCTTTTTGTATTTTGTCGCCGATATGTCTCTGCATAGACACATATTCCTATGGATATAATACGCTTACATTCCAGTTGAGAATTCTCGATCAACTTATTTTCAATATTAATCGTTTGAATATCATCAGCCGTGTTTTTTTTAATATTTTGCCGCCGATTATTCCCTGCACAGATACAAAATAAATTAGTTTAATTTTTTTGTCTATAATCTGCGATGTCATTTTCGTCATCGTCTTCCTAAGATGTGGAATTAAAATGTCTGTTCTACTAATGTTTAAGTTATCCGATCTATGCGTTCTTTTTATTTTCGACTGTTGCACGACACTTTTTTAACAACTTGCAGATTTTCTCCTGATCTAAAATTTAACCAATACAAAGACGATTACATAAAGAGATACTTGCTATATTTTATCCAGAAAGATTCTATTTTTCCGACACATTCAACATGAAGTCGCTTCCTAGCAGATTCTAATTGTAAAAAAGTATGCTCTGTCAAGAAGATGAAATGCTTCCCGTAATGTACCGATAAGTCATCATCATTCACCGTTAGACGAGAAGACTCCAATATCTTGCAACTCACGCGAAAATCGGAGGTTCCTGTAGAAAAGTAAATCAGTAATAAATATACACAGTAAGCTTAATGCATTATAAAAATTGTTGAGACTTTTAACCGTACGTTTGCAGCAATAGCGTTTGAAAAACTCTTTGTAGGTGAAGTGAATCGAATATTTACATCTAGCCAGAGGCAGAGCGTCAAGAATACCCGTATTAGCCAGTTGCCTGTAAAGTTCGTTTCGGTTCCACTCGCGATTATCAAGCCGCCTATAGATAATTAATTAATTTCTATTCAAAAATAAATTAGATCGTATGTTGTCGTTAAATATTATTATACCGCGGTTTAATACAGCGAACATAATGGGCGTCGCATTTGTTTAACTCTTGTATCAGCAAGTCCACGTTATGTCGCAGCTTGGAGAGCATTGTAGGTTTCTTGGCTTTTCCATTTTCGTGATGTAGCTTACTCTTGTTAATTAAGCAATACAGAAATGTATTTTTACTCATGCCAAACGTTACAATTATCTCATCTGGAATCTGTATCACGTTTTTAACATACATTCAAACTCGTAACAACTTTTAGGATCATACGTGCAATCAGATCAAACGCATCGTTCGTACTTTATCGATATTTTTGGAAAGCAGATCGTTAATGGAATATTCCACGGCACCGGAGTAATGTTGTATAACGAAATTTTCGTTCCTCACTTTCAAGAATCGTTTCGTCTCGGGACAACCGTTGGCGCATATTTGCTGTATTAATGTGGACAAATCGCTTGGAACTGTCGACAAACATATCTATACAAAGATTCGGTTAATTATTTTACACTGAATCTACAGATAAATATATATTTCTTATTAGTAGTTCTTATTAAATATATATATATAGTCTGAAGATTTATTAGAAACACATTACGTCGTTGAGAGTAGCAAACAAGCGTTTTTCAATCGTATTCAAGCGATCCTCATATAATCGCACGATCTCCGGCGGTTCGGCGTCCTCAATGAGATCCTCCTCTTGCAAAATTTTTTGACGAAATTCCAAATACTTTTCCATGAAATACCATTGCAATCTCTCATTGACGTAATTAACGCAAAGTTGCTCGATGCCGTTCGCGTCGAAGCACTCGAATCCGAAGACGTCCAATATCCCTGAAGAACGAGAAGATTATCATATCGGTATCAGTGTATCGATTTCGCCAATTTCGAACATTGAAGAGATTTCTGATGATACCCAATCGTTCGCTGAACAGACGGGTAGACAGGATCCCGTTTATGGAGTTGATCAGCCAGTGAAAAAGAAGATCGTACAAGTGGCGGATGATACTGTGAAGCCTGTAGCGGCAGGCATCCTCAGTGTTGAGATTACGTCGGCAAGCGGTGTGACGTTGCCAGGAACTTCGCGGATTTATGAGGGTGGATGTAAGTAGTTCGGCGATATCCTCCTTCTGGAGACCAGTCAGCTTGCATGTGTTCTCCAAGGCTTCCTTGGATTCTGCAAATCACGTAATATCACGTATTCTCTATCTAGCTATTTCATTTTTATTGCACGGTTCAAGTCGTCCATGAAAGCATAAATAAATGTAAATGCGCGTGATTTTAGAAAGAAAGATTATATCAGTTATATATACGTTGGTCATCGGTATCAATCCTGCAATGATCGTCCTCTTGCGTAAACCGTATATTGCTCATATGGATGAGCAAAGAAAGAACTTGAAAGATATTTTTCTTTTGATCTTTCGTAAAATCTAGCATATCCATTGCCCTTAAAGTATCTCGAAATCCGTCGCGAAGCTGTTGTCCTTTCGCAGAATCCAGATCGCTCGACATAAAATATCGCGCGTCCCTCGATAATCCAGTATCGGCGAACTCTATATCCGTCAACGCAGTCATCATCTGGAATATGTACGATGGGCTTAGTGAATCTTGAATAACGTAAGACATATCGTATGGCTCGGCGAAAAAATCACCTGATAAAAAATCTGAAAATTGCAATGACCCATCGTAACTCTATTCCTCTCTAGAAGGTATGAGGATACCATCGCACCGCAAATGCTGCCCATCTTGTACTCGAGCCACACGATCTCCACATGTCTCGAGCTGATCTCGTTTCTCTCGGTGGACGCCACCGTGAAGGCCGATATCAAACGGCAGCCGTCCGTGATTCTCTGCACGATGTCGCAGCAAGCTACATCTCGTCCCCGATGCTTGTCAGTGAATGCGTTTCTGGCGGTCAAAAATTCCAGCGCCCTCCACGCGTTGAAGGTCTTTCCTGTTCCAGTTTCACCGTTCAGAACGATCACCTTCACGAGAAACGTAGAAGCATTATTTTGCCTGATGAGAAGATAAGGTGTGCACGAGGAGCGGATCAAACTTCCTGAATTTACCTGGCTAGGCTTCCCGAGACCTTGAACTATTCTATAGTGTGCTCTGGCCGCCACGGCGAATATATGAGGTGCTAATTCCTTACGAGTTACATCGTAGACGTTATCGTACAGATCATTGACACGCGACAAGTCATAAATATCGTCAATGGAAATCTCGTCGTTGGGATTGATTGCCAGGAGGAGGGTACCGACCCATGTGTAAATTTGACCTCGTTCGAAACGCTCCAGGAGATAATCTATAACTAGAATTTAAATTAAAGAAAAGGAGATAATTCGATTCCGATTTGATAGAAGAGATATTTGCAAGGAGCAAGAAACATTTTATCAAAGGTATAAAATAGAAAATGCGCGTATACTATTCTCCTGCCGGACTGCACTCGAGTCGTCCATCACATCTCAGATGTAAGAGCAAACACGTCCCTGTAAACGCACAGCGTTGTAAACGGCCGCGGCTAAAATCTGTCCAATTGACACGTATCTCTGCGAATATATACATTCCGCTTATCGCTTATATATATCTATCTATACATATATATAGAGAGAGACTTATAAGTTATGCGAGACTTGTTGTGACACGCGTGTCACAGTTTGACAATACAAACTTCAAGCTTCCAAATCAAATTTACAAAGTAGTTGGAAAATGTATACAAATGCGTGCGCGTTTAATCGCGACCAACGCATGTCAAAGTATCATATATGTTATAAAACAATAACAGAACTCGGAGAGAACTTCACGAGTATTATTTCTTCGATGTGTAAAAGAAAATCGACGCACCGATTTGTATTCACAATTGGGTGAAAAGAAAAAAATACTGTAGTCGAATAAAATTGCCTTTATTGCGACATTCTGGGACTAGGTAGGCGAACGTACGATTAAAAACTGGAGATGAATCATTTTGACAAGTACGAATTCTTATCGTGATTACACAAGAGTGAATATCTTTCATTAATTATTTATCGATTCACCTAATTAATCCGCTATCATTACGTCGCTAGAGTTAACTTAGAGATATCTGTGTTTTGCGCGTATATTATTATATTGGACATTAAAGTAGAGTGTTCTTCGGAAATAACCGTTATATGAGAATTTTTGAAAACTGTGTAGACTTATCAATTAAGTAATTACGATCGAACAATCGTCGGACATTTTATTGGAGAATAAATAGGTGATCGCTATCTTATGTATATCCTTTATTTGCCATAACATTTATTATGATGCGACAACACAATGAATTTGCGTTTTTTCGAAATTTTCGCTCTAGCTGTAGACTCGACCAATTCTCGCTCTTCAAAGATGTAATGGCGGATGATTAATATCAATGTCGATTGCTCATCGATAATACCAATGAAACTATGTCACTTAGAGCGAATTTGGTTGGATGCACTAGTGCGCACTGGTGCACATATAAAGATTGTTGTACACAAATTTATAATGGCATATATAATTAAAAAAAGTAAAATTATTAATACTAAGAGCTATTATTATTGTTCTTCAATACGAATAATGATAACTCATATTGTTAATACTATTTATCTTAATGTTTCATTATTTGTGCTCATACTGAAAAAAAAAATTGTTAACTTGACTAAACCGTTCAATTAATTACCATTTTTTAAATTGAAATATTTAAGTATTTAAGTCAAATATACGTCATGTTAGATTTAATATGTCGTATTTGATTTAAAGTCAAGTTAACAATTTTTTTTTCAGTGTATGTTGTTATGTACAATAATCTTTAATGTGCACCAGTGCGCCCTGGTGCGTCCAATCGAATTTGCTATTAACTTATTCCATACCCAGATCTATTGATTCGTTATCAATGATAAGCGAATTTCGAATAACTACTCGATACATTTTCACAAATACTCGATTGCGTCTCGCGAAAGTAGCCCTGCGGAAAAACTAAGATTTCCCTAGTCCACATTTTTCTATCATATATTTCTTAAAAAATTAATGAGATTCATATACATCTCTCTCTCTCTCTCTTTCTCTCTTTTTCACTCTAGCTCTCTCATTCTCTCCGTTTCTTCTTTTGCATACAATCACCGTATAAATTAAAATATAAACAAATGAATATACAATTATTATATATGATATTTAGTTTTTTCTGACCTTCTCCATATTACTGAAGAATAATGGCAATGCACATTCTTTCCTCTGGACGAGCACTTTATATTTCTAATGCGTCTCGATTTAATTTGCGAGTAAATTTTTTTGAAGTTAAATTTTTGGCGCACTGTTTTAATACTTTTGAACCTATTGGCAATATTGCGCATAATGTTACATGCTAATACATATTTTCGCGAGAAATACGCTGGAATATACTTATGAAAGACAGGAGAGACTAAATATCATACATCGAATACAGACTTACTAGCACCAAGCGCATACCAAACACGCAATAAATTAAAGCGACAAATGTGGAATTTACATAGTACCCTAGCTTTACTAATTACGATCGTATGAAATCCGTCACGAGAGATGTGATTTCCGCTTCTCCTCAAAATTATTCAAACGTATATAATAGTAATATTTGAATATCGCCGATAAATCAATCGCAATATACTTTTACACGTGACGTTATAAACAATAATTAACTGCATCTAATTTTTTCTTCTTAATTGAATCACAGCGAGTGACGTAATTGTAGAGAGAAAACTCACCTGATATAAATGCACAGCAATATATATATATAAGTATAATGTGTATTTAACAAATCTCTTTCTCTCTCTTTATAGAGAAAACAAATTTTAATATATATACATAAAAATGATAAAGTTGTAGGTTTTTTAGAACATTCGCATGTGTACGATGTCTGCGTCGAAAGGAAATATTGACCGAAAATTCTAAATTTATCTCATCGAAAAACTGGATTAATTTTTTCGATTATAATTGTTTGTTGATATAATGTTTGAAATAAATTTTGTATTTTCATATTTACAGTAAATTATATTACAAAAATCCTTTTTCAATAAATATACATATATGTATATCTGCCTTTGAAATTTTATTCAAACTGAAAGGCGTATAGAGTTTTTATATTTCCGGTTGCCAAGATCAAATTGTTCGGAGAAAAATTCCATACATATGTATAATTTATTATTTTTCTCATGTTTCTGCCGCAGATCTTAACCGATCGTCGAATAGATATAGCGATTTTTTGCGATACAGATCATTCGTTAATCTCTAATTTTGCACTCGAGTTTAGATGAGGTGATTAATATCATCTTTAATATTAACAAGTGTGTGCACACTTGTACGTGTGCGCGACGAATTATATGCTGCTCGAAATATCCGCCCAGGAATAGATGACTTCTCTCGCGCTCGACACTCTCTACACAAGTACGTCACATAAGTACGGCGGCAAATTATATCAGACGAGCGCGTAACGGCATCGTTACACGTTACAAGGAACGTGAATTTTGCGGTGCGCGGTAAAACTATAATTACGAACAAGAACGAGAGATCGTTTGGTGGATCGGTTTTGGACGTCCGAATCACGGTCGAGACGCGACGAATAATAAATTAAATCGCGTTACTTACAGAGAGATCGTATAATTCAATAAATAATTTATATAATAGATATAGTTGAAATACTGGTTTAATGTCGATTTAAACAAGATTTATCAGAAGAAAAATTATAAGTTTCATATGTGAATCGAATAATATATTTATGATTAATCTGTCTTGTGGAATTTTCTGTTCTTCGACAGGGATTCGGACGTCTGGAACGAAAGAAACGTTGCTACATAGACAAGATAATATAACGGAGCATCGACGCGTCCCCTCTCGTTAAAGCCGAAGCTTCCTAGGCGTCGGAATAAGGGATTTGATCGTGTTTCCTTCTACCTTGACATCGCGTTGTTCCGCGTCGTTAGAATCACACGGCGACTTCGCGCAATCCTTCGGCTTGGTGAACGAGCCGGACACGAGTGCCTCCGACGAGTGTCTCCTCGCGTGCGCGTTGGTGCGACGTGTCGGGATCTGTTCCTGACGGAGTCTTAACGTATGAGGTAAACGTTCGGTTGGCTTGCGAGGGCTCCCGGCGGACTTAAGCTCGGAGAGCATCGAAAGTCGCTGACGGTCCGACGAGTCACTCCAACTGTAATCGAGAAATTGTCCTTATTACAACTGTGCTTTATGGAAATAAGTGTGTAGTATGAAAAATTCAATTCGAGTAAAAAAAAAACTTGAAGTCGATTGAATAAAAAGAACTCACCGCACATGGCTATTCAAAGCAGCGTGAAACATTACGAATTGTAAATCTAATATATTATCGCAAAAGATAATTTTGGGAGGATATCAATATAATGTAATTGCCGCGCTAGCATTGAGGCGAAAACACATTATGTTAATGTTACATGCCAGAAACATCGATTTTATAAATACGAAGTAGCAAGCAAGATTGATCTACGATCTACACGCATTCGCGCGCGCAAATAGATTAAAAATATTCTCAAGATTTATATCGACTCTTACAATGGAGAAAAAGTAGGCTCTTGTCGATACGCAAAATGCAATCGTTCGATTATTTTCTTTCCGAAAAAGAAAAATGGGCTCATCGGGCATGACATGAAGCTGAATATAAGGAATAAGTACAAAAACTATAACTGTTTTATAGCTATTCAACCAATCATATATTATATATTAATTATATATCAACATGTATATTATCAGTTTTATATAAAATAATGTATATATAGAACAAAATTACTATACTTATATTAGTATCAAAATATAAATTACAGTAGTCCAAATATGATTTTACTTTAACAAGATTTACCTTGGTCGAATAGCTGGGAACAAAAGTTAAATTACTTAATCGCATGCAAAACTGAACGCAATCGTCAATAACGAATTGTCAAACAAGTGGCACGAAAATAGAAGAGGTGCATTAATATGAGGGCGTTAAATGCAGAGAGGAGTACATATCCCAATAGTAAGTCACACAGACTGACGCACTCTACCTTCCCGATCCTGAAGCTGCTTCATGTGGAATTACCCGAGTAAAGGGCGGGACCAGAGTAGCAAAAAAGATATATTATTTATGATGCACATGACACACAGAAAGAGATATATTTTAAATGCAATTGTCAGTGGCACAAGCGCGTAATAATCCGCAACTTTTATTCGACAGTGACAATACTCGATTAATTATAAGAAATATTTTACGTCAAGTTAAAGATTTAAAAAATTAAACGTATATATAAGTGTTTAGTTCATATGAATATCATTGTCGATTGGATAGAATAAACAAGATAAACTCTCACCTAACGAGAGGCCCCATAACACCATCCTGTGGGAGTGATTGTAGGAGCGAGGGTCCCGCCGATACTGGACGTGTCTAGAGAGTCGCAAATGAAAAATGTGTTTTTGTTTTTAATCGAGTGCAATAAAGTAACTTTAACAATAATGATAATACCAAACGAAATATACTCGCAAAAGAAATGCGACTATAATAATCGAAAGTAAGCGACAAGACAAAATCAAAATCGAACGTAAATGATGTAAGATGAGGGGATTGAATATGTGATCCAATTACATGTAGAAAGTAATACCTTCTCCGTTTGCGTTGTAGCGTTACACGTATCCACGGAAATGTCGTTATTGCGCGTCGGTAGGATGCAACTTTGAGTGTCGCCGTTCTTAGGTCCTTGAAGTTTCGATATCTGGAGCTGCAAAGATCAATACGTCACACTCAAATTATTCTCTTTTTTTTTCGACAAGAAGTATTCTGAGAATGATTACCGATTTAAGATTTAAATCTCCGGTCAAGGCGAGCTTTTTGCACAGAGCAATGTGGTTAATCGCGATAAACGATTTACCTCGTTATTTACCTCAAGTAGCTCGATGGTGCGATCCCGCGATTGTATGGTACGATCTCGGTCCTCCACTTGACCCTGAAGAAACACCACCTGCCTCCTTAAGTCCGTCAATTCGTCCGCGATGCTGTTACCACCGCTTCCCGGTGATGTGCTCACATCGGTAGTACCACCCTCGTTCAGGTTACAGAAGAGGCCATTCTATAAGTATATCGGCAATCGTTATTTTTACATTCAATGAGCAAGCATTGAAATATATGTATATATATTCTCAATCTATTTTTTTCTAAATAAATCTCTTACCTTTGGATTATCGAATGGGTTGAGAGTTTCTGCCTAAAAATCAATATCAGATATTAATGAGTTGTACATTTATCTTTAGCGTCGCTGATAATTCTTATAACTCGTATATATCATCGGGACTGAGTAAAATAGTATTATAACAAAAAAAAATTTTGTTTCCCTCTCTTTCTTGCAATTTTTATCTATATGGTTTTTACTCAATCCCGTATGGATATTTAAAT